AGTAAAAACCACGGCTAGCCAAGTTTACGCCGTTTTGCGTGGTTTTTGTCAAACGACTAAAAGCGAGAGATGGTTTTCAAAGTGTTTTTGTTGGAGAACCGTTTAAACATGCCAAAGAGTGAAAGCAGATCATAAAATGCTGAAAACCACTTGGTTGGTTCGGATGCCAAAAACCAAACCCGACAACCGAAAGCCGAACACTGGATGGCTTGGTTTTGGGTTTGGGCGAACACCAAGTGTTTTTAATGACTTAAACAAGTTTAAAACCATTTTTATGATGTAAGAAATGCAATGAGAGTTTTTAGCCTAAAGAGCCAAGGTGTAAAGATTGGGTTGGTCTTGATCACAATAAAGACCGACTCAATACTATGATTAAGGTCTTCGTTCTTGGTCTTCGTTTAGCTCTTGCTCTTATCTTCGTTCTTCGCCTTGTATATTCAATGTTTGACTTGATCACGGCGGTTTGGCATTATCAAAACCTGTTACAAAAACGAACACGACTTTAGTACGAAAACGTAACAAGCCCATGTTTCAACAATTTCCCCCTTTTTGATAATGGCAAACGAGACGAGACGAGGTTATGCATAGGAGGATTATTTTGAAAAAGATGTTCCCCTTAATAGATGCCATTTTACAAAAAATTCCCCCTTAATTTATGCATAACCTTAATATCTTCCCCCTTTTGACATTAACAAAAAGAATTAAAAGTAAACTTTAGAATTGTAAAAGTAAGCTTTTTATTCATGAAAAAAGGGAAATGCGGAATACAACGGAATGGAAAAAATAAGAAATACAATCATAGGAAGAAGAGAAAAGAGAAGTCTAAGCATCGGCGTCCTCGTCGTCATCCTCGTCGTCCTCGACGTCCATGGGATCGCCGTCGACCGCATCTTCAAAGTCGGCCTCGTCGGGGGAGGAGGATGGAGCATAGGAGTTATCCTCCTCGTCCTCGCCTTCATAGTTTTGGCCGAGGAAAGTGCTGTCAAAGGGCGGCGGGACGTAGTTGATGCCGCGGAAGAACGCCGTCATGTCGTGGTGTTGGCGTTGCAGCGTCCAGTCCATCCGCTCGATTGACTGCCCCATGCCATCCACTGTGAGGGTTAGCCGATTCAGAGTATCGGCTATGGATTGCAAAGAGGCCTTGGCGGGAGTGGGGGCTGGTGCACGACTTGGGCCTGTGCCGTCCCGGTCTCCGGACTTTTTCCGGAAGGTGTTGTCTTGAATTATCCAAATCTTTGTCATCTTCGTATCCGGGCCGGCGATGGAGATGTCGGCGGAGATGATGAGGTCCATGACGAGGAAGGCGTATGGCAAGCTCCGCTCAGTGGCGATGGAGGCGCAATCCGCCATGTGGATCATCACGAATTTCGCCCAATTGATGGAGGCGCCGTGGATGATGGCATGAATCGCCTT